GGCGGCGGGAGCGGACGCAGGGGCTGCCCCCTGCCGCCGCCCCCACGTAGCAGAGGAAGGGCTTGGGCCACTTGTGTAGCCGTCACATGAAAGTCGGTGTAAATCTCTCCAAATCTCTTGCTTATCCTCCAGCAAACTATTAACATTCCTGAGGACTCTTCATGTCTGGCCAGAAATTCATTAGCGAGGCGCCTGGCTCCGGAGGAGAGCAGGCCTCGCGCAGGAGGCTGCTGGCACGTTGGTGCGGGCAGGCGCGGCGCGGCGGTCACGGGGACGCGGAGCGTTTCGGGGATAGACCGCTTAAATCCTGCCTGGTTGGTAGGGCACTGCCTTGTGATGGCCTTTTGGGGGTCTGTTCGAAAAAGGCTGGTGCCTCTTGTGTCCGGTTCCCTGGCGGGCACGTGTTTCCTTCACACAAAGCCACTGGCCAAACAATCTGGCCGTTGGCTGGACATGCCCTGCTTGGGTGGCCAAGTTATGATGCAGCCCTGATCCTTCATCTCTGGGACGTGGGTCTCTTGAAGATGGCTGTAACAGGACATTGAAGGGTGGAGACCTGTGGTGCTGGCATCGACGAGTAGGCTCAGGAGGTCCTTGACTGGACCTTGGGTCCATCTGCTTCTCCTAAGGATGGTCAACCCCAGCCCGGGTCCAGCCCTGTTTCTGCTGACCCCGGGAGCACCCACATTCTAGGTCTGTCAACCTGCATCCACTGGCAACAGGTCAGATGTGGTGGCTTTTTGACATGGTAGTGGGACCTCATAGTAGAGCGATCCCCCAGGCTGGGGTGTCCCTCCTCTCTGATGTGTCCTTCAGGGAGGTGGGAACGGCAGACCATCACTGGGAGCTCATGTGGCTGGAAATGGGGTGGCTGGGTGGGAGAAGAGGCTCGGACTGAACTCTGCTGGCTGGTGGCCTCGTGTGGGGCACCTTGGGATGTGCAGGGAAGCCCCCGTTCATGCAGGCAGGTCCTGTGAAGGCAGGGGGGTTGAGCTAGACCTGTTGGTGTGGTTCCCCTTGTTCTGCCAGTGTGTGCGCCCAGAGACAGGTGTGTTTTACAGCTCATGAGTTCATAAAGGACTAAAACAGTGCAGGTGTGGAGCAGAGAGACTTCAGGATCAAGCCATCTTGGTGAGCCAGAAGTCCCTGCTGTCCAGGTAGACGCGAGCTGCATGGAAGGGCTGGTGGACACGCTCCTATAGCTCCTGGAAGGGGATCTGCAAAGGCAACTCTGCTTGGTAGTGGCAGATGATAAAACGAAGGGCAGCAGCCAGAAACTGCAGCCTGCGAGGTTCACACCAGGCATTGGAAGAAACTTTCTTACTAGGAGGGCAGGGCAGCACCCCACGGGTCACCCAGTGGTTGGGGCATCCCATCCTTGGAGGTTTCCAAAACTGACCTGACCTAGTGCGGGCGATAGTCCTTGCTTCGAGCGGGGTGGCAAAAGGGACCTCCAGCGCTCCCTTCCCACCAGCAGCGGGGTGGCCCTGTGCTGGGCTACGACCCGCTCAGCAGGACGCCCGGCACGGGGCTCCTGTCGTGGCCGCAGCCTCTAGCAAACAGATCAGAGCGGGCTGATTGCAGGCGCTGTGCTTGGCTGGGAGCCCGCGTGCCCGTGCGGCCAGGGGCGCTCAGCACCTGGCAGCGTTCGGCCCGGGCCTCGGGGTGGGGAGGGCTCTGCTCAGGACACGAAGCTACCCGGCGGCTAAAGAGCTGCCGTCCTCCCCAAGGGCAGCCCAGCGGACGGGGTCGCTCTCAGGCGAGGAAGAGGAGGGAGGGGGCGTGCAGAGGGGCGACCCTCGGGGATGCTGCTAGCTGT